ATTATGATTCTATGTGATGAAGTGTATTAGTAGTGTTTTGTCATTAGTGTGTCGATTTCATGACCAATTTGCGATTAAACTCAATTAAAAACACTTTAAATCTCATATACACTTCATTTGAGACAGAAATTCGGTGTTTTTTTATGTTCGCCGAAATTGGTACTAAGGACTCGATATCTGGTACTGAAACACCAAAAGTTGGTACTATCTTACTCTAGGTCTGGTACCAATTTTTGCAAATGTTGACCAAAGTTGAAGTAATCCATTTTCATTGACCAAAAGTATGTACTAATTAATTAAAAACAAGTACTACGCAGAAGAAGAAGCGGTATTATTTCTGTTAAAACTGGTACCGTTTTAGTAATCGTGATTTCTTTAATCCTCCATGTCTACCATGCCAAGTGGATCGTTCACGCGTGATTTGATTGAGAAATAGTGGAAGTTAAAACATATAGGTAGAATTTGGAGTAGTAATGTATGATCATTCAATTATATGAAGTGTGTCTTTTAATGAGATGAAGTGTATTAGTAGTGTTTTGTCATTAGTGTGTTGAGTTCGTGACCACGTTGCTATTAAGCTTAATGAAACACATATTAAATCTCATAGAAACTAATGTGAGAGTTATAATGGGTCAAATATACATCATGTCAGACCGAAATTCGATGTTTTTTTATGGTCGTCGGAGTTGGCACTGAATACCCGATATCTGGTACTAGAACACCATATTTTCGGTACTATCTTACTCTAGGTCTGGTACCAATTTTGTAAATATTGGCCAAATTTGAAGTAATCCATTTTTTATTTTTTCTACAAAGTAGGTACTAATTCATCAATAACTGGTACTGCATAAAAGAATAAGTGTTACTGTTTGTGGAAAAACTGGTACCATTTTACGAAATTTGTTTTTTTTTTTTTTTAAATTTTATGTTCGTCGGAGTTGGTACTGAAGACCCGATATCTGGTACGAAAACAAACAGGTAACAATTATAGTACAACTTACATCGTATCATATTTAAGACAAACAAGTACCAGATTACGAATCATGATTTCTTTAATCTGTCATGTCATAGATCGTTCACGCATGGAGTGGTTGAATGATAGACGAATCTAAAATTAGATTAGTCATGTTTAATCGTTTAATGAGATGAATTGTTTTAATAACGTTTGTTCATTGATGTGTTGAGTTCATGACTAATTTGCGATAAAACTTAATTCAACACATTCTAAAACTCATTGAAGCTAATGTGTGAGTGATTTTGAGTAATATAAACATCATTTAAGATCAAAATTCGGTAATTTTTTTTAAAGTTCGTTGGAATTGGTATTAATAACCCGATATTGGGTACCAAATTACCATTTAATATTGTCTAATTCTAGAACTGGTACTAATTTAATAAACATTGACCAACATTAAAGTAATCCATTTCCGTAGACCAAAGTAGGTACTAATTG